TTCTATGATTCTATGACTGTACATATAATGGACTCTATATGTGCTATGGCCTCCACATTGGAGCCTTCATCTTTATGCGGGTATCTCTGTTCTACCTTATCACAACCAAATAATGATAACAGGTGAAATTATTTTTTAATTTTTTTTCTTACAAATAAGGCATTTCAAAATGGCTATTACAATAAGAAATGCCCTTCCAGTTTAATAATCTACCAGTCACAGATTATCTGAGATGATAATCTGTGACTAAATTCTGACCATTTTTATTACGTTACAGAACACTGATCAATATAAAAACAGTGAATCCCATATCATAATATTCTTTTTAACGTGGAGACACATTTCATTTTAAGGCCTAAAGAACACCTCATTTCAAAATAATTTCTGCATAAATTTGAACACAGATGTAATTGATCATATGTAATTGCACTGGATTTTCTCATTAGTCATGCCAAGTGCTCCCCTTGTATTTTGTCCAATCTGTCATTGGAAGACCTGAAATGCCATCAGGCAGCTTTCTTTTCTATGTCACAAATTTAGAAAGACAAAATGAGGAGTCAGCACTCATACTTGTGCCTACATAGATTTTGCTTTGCCCACAGATATAAAACCATCTAAATTTTTCATTTGGTTAATCATTTTAGACTGCCTGGGTTAACCTTTTTCTGTCAAAATGACAGAGACAGAATTTTATCTAAAACTAACACAAACTCAATCATAGCATAGTACTGAGAAATAAGGTTGTTACAAACTAGCAATGAAATTCTCTGCTTGGACAAATCATCTCCTAAGGCAAAAAGGAATTAACAAGGAAACATGATATATTTTAAGAAATGACTAGTGGCAGGGATCTTTAATCCTTTTTGTGTGCTTGGTTAGTCGGTTTTCCTCAAAAAATTATACTCTTGCTCTATAATCACCAATAGTTACTCAGAGAGGAGCAAATTTAATTATTGTAAGTAGTGCTTAATGGTATTTTTTTTTTTTTTTTACGTTGGCAGCATTTCACACCACATTTCCACAGGTGAAGCGATCCTTCCTGTCAGATGAATACAAGAATGGAAGGAGCTGGGGTCTCAGCTGACACTGAAGTTAGGCTGGAATGTGCCTAAGGTCTCAGACCTCCGGAATCATCCATTTAGGGGTAGGGCAGAATCCCTGTAAGGTGTAAAGGCAGTAGAGCCAACTCATACAGTTTCACTTTTTTTCTTTTGAAATATATCCAAGGATGGTGAGAGACTCCACAGATTTTTCACACACTAACTGTACGACTGGAGGATGACATTTATGTGCCATACATACTTATGTATGTATGGCACTATACCTATAGCTTGCAGAATTTAGAGCATCCCTAAAGGTTTGGCCTTTGTGCCGGGGCCTGAACAGGAAAGGAGTGAGATGCTCCCTGATGCCCCTTCTCACCGTTCTGTTGAGGCAACATCTGAGAGTCGATGGAGTGAAAATCTGAGAACAGACATGAGGAAATGGCTTATTAAATCATAAAGTCTAAAAACAGTGGAATGTGATTAACACCTCCCCCCAGTCTTGAAACAGCTGATAGTCATGTTATCTTGAAGATTATATTAAGAGTTGCCAAGTCTTGCCACAATAGGAAATATGATCTAGTAAGGCACTGTGTTCCCATCAAGGAGTCATACAGAGAACAAAATGACTGAGTTTGCTGGGGTGAATGCTGGGTGCAGACCCCCAGATTGTGGACTTGCTCTCAGTTACCAAAGAGAAGAGAGGGTTGGCCATTGACCCTACTATGTAGTGGTCTTTACCTCATAGTAGCTAGCTACCAAAGTTGGGCCAAAGCAATGTAGGAAACAGATGGGACTTGTAAAAGATTTTAACAAAATATTTAAGTCTTGCAGCATGCAGCGAGCTATGCCTGTCAATGTTAATTATAAGATCAACATGGCTATATATTGTTTATTATTTGGGGTTTAGTGTTAGGACTTAATCTATCATGAATCCTCTCATTAGGGACCAATACTAACAGAGGGACATTTCAGTGTTCCTGGATATTCTTAGTTACCATATTAGTGATCTTATTAGGGGAAAAAATTTGAAAGTACAGCATACAGGAGATGTGTACTAATCTTATTAGAGTAGCATTTTTAATATTGTGATGTATTAACTTTAAAATTAATTATTAGATAATACTTTCTTTTCCAGAATTCAATACAGAAAGCATAACAGTCTTCCTAATGGGGGGGGGGGGATCAATTTTATTTTTTTTAAATTTTCTCCTCAAAGGAAAACAACAGAGCTACTTCATTCAATGTAAAATTCTTAATGGAAATTTAAGCAACACAGTTATGCTGGCTGTTTGGTTTCAAAGTAAGGAATAAACTGAGGTAATTGTCTATTTGAATAGATTACCCAACGGTTATAAAAAAACAGTGATTGAAGAGTGTGGAACTATTAACTGTCTGGTTTTAAAAGCTACTGCACTAGTATCAGACTGATGGTTCTTGATTTAACAAGTGGAGTGAAAAGAGAGATAAAGAAAGGAAATGGAACTAAATGATAAAACCAAAGAAGATACTTCACAGTGGGAGGCTTCCTGACTAGTGCTATTCTGTTTGTGATTTTTTTGTTTTTCTGTTATGTGTCTATCCTATCATCTATGTACTTGTCTGTAACTCACATTTAATGAAAATGAGATTGACTGCATCTGTTCACAAACGATAAAAATTCTGAGATTTAGAAAGTGGACAGCTTAAAAGCCTAACGGTATTTGGAGGTTGTTTTTTTTTTGTTTAGCAAATTCTTACTTTATCAAATCTATTATGCCTATCAGAAGAAGAACCTTAGTCTTAGCATAAGTAAAACAATACAAGTGTAACCCATAGTGATTGTGACATCACCAATCATTAGACTCACACATTTTTCAAAGCTGCTTAAGCATATTGTCATTATATTCCTAAGAAAGATGAGTTGAAACCAAAGGCAAAGTTAATGACACTCACAAGTAATAGATATTAGAACTCAAAAATTGGTGATCATGCTGTAACTTTTGCACTGCAATACAGAAGTAAAGAGAAAGAAGATTCCTTGCTGAGTGAAGAATGCTGACTATACTGACCCAATGCAATTACTTTACCACAGTAACCATCTTATGGGTCTTAAAAAATTAATTGAACTTATGCAGCATGAGAGCAAAAGCCACAGAACCATGTATTTGAGTACAAGAAGTAAAAACAAAGCCAGCATAGGTGTGACTGTTTCCAAAGTAAGAATAATTGAATTAAAAAAACCCTGTACATGTGTCTTTCATGATAATGAATGGCCACTTTGACACCCAATCTTTTCATACTTTTAATCCACATGCACAATTACGTTGTATTCCATCCTTTAGCATCCAATGTGAAAGTACACTACAGAGCTGAAAAAGACAGTCTTTGATTTCATTCAGTTTTAGTCTCAAGATCTTGGGGGGGAAAATCCCAAAAGAACCCTCTTGAAATAAAGAGCGATTAAAAAAGACAGGTTATTACTTACCACAGTGACGTTGAAAGCATAAAGAAGATCAAAAGGAAGTGCAGCAATTAAGTCAATGATAAACCAGGTAGTCACATAGTGGATACAAATAGATCTTGCTTCAAATATAACTTGGCCAGACTTGCTGACATATGTTGTTCGGAAATTTAAAATAATATCTGCTTGACAAAGAATGAACAGAATCAGAGACAATGATTTCTTGATTCCTGGGGATAACACCAGTAATCCACCATAATTCTGATTATTTTTCTTATGTGTGGTGAAAACTGGATAAAGAATTTAATACAGAAACAAATAAAATATAGTGGTAAGAGATACACATACAGAAATTTAAAACAATTGATGCACAACATCATTCTGTGTAAATAGTAAAATGAACATTTAAAGTATTTTAAACTCAGTGATTTCAAAGGGAGCTGAATTAAAACAAACAAAGACCCCCAAAAACCCCAAACCAACCCACATGGCTCTTAAAAAGTGCTAAATATTGGTACCGTATTTTTTCCTAATTAAAAATGAGGGTATGATTGTTGTGCCTATAACCTACTTATATTTCTTTGGAGATAAAAGTTCATTAATTACTTTATTTAAAATGTATAGGTGAAACTTTCTTTTAGTGATAACTGTCCAGCACGAAGAACAAATATCCTCAAGGACAATCACTTGTTTATCCACAGAGAAGTGCTGAACTCACTTAAAAAAACATGGGGTTTGGGCTGCAGTGGAGATAAGAATTGCTTGGTGACTTGTGCATTTTGCATGTTCCTATCTAACATTCCAAGATGAGTGTCCTTCAATATGAGATATAGTTTTGACATGCCTTGCCAAAACACATTAACACTCAAAGAAAAACCCAGGTCTTGACAACAGAGTCTCAATTATTTTCATGTCCTACAAGACAAAGACTATAATCTGTCCTCGAGCTATGCACCCGGTTTCTACCAACATTAGTGAGAACTACTTGTGTAACTTTTACAATGTCAGAAAGAGTGCAGTCAACCATCAAGGCTGGTGTTTTACAGCAAGATAATTAACCTGCTGCCTTGAACATTCTAATGCCTCATGTTGAAGACCATCTCATAAAAGAGAGAAAAGAGATCCCAAGTGTTAGGAAGATATTCAGAGTGTGATTGACTTTTTCTCATTAAAAATGACTTTAGGGTAATGGTCTTGGCAGACTGAAAGCCAGTGGACTTTCTTTAATGTCCAAGTTATGAGAGGCAGCTTTCTAGTTGATAGTCCATTGTGTAATAGACTTGTCAACTGTGTTATTTGTAATTTAGGCAGGCCATTATTGAGTGCTACAAAGAGGGAACTGCAATCCCCGTGCCCTCTGCCTCTGTGACAGCAATGGCAGCACTGACTCCTTTTTATCTGCTAGATGATGCTCAAGAAGATATGCCTTCAACTGCCTCTTCTACACACTGCCCTTGTAGGGAGGTGGCAGCAGCAGCTTCTGGGGGTTGGCTCCACACCATATACAGCATGGAGTGTGCGCATGATGCCCAAACAGATATTTCTTACAGCCTGTGGAGCAGGGGAGGTAGAAATGCCAAATGGAAGCACCTACAAGTGAAATCCAGATTTCTGCCCACCATTATGTTGGGTGAAGGCATAGGAAGATGTTTTATGCCTTGCAAACAGAAATAAACACATGAGTATTTCATAGATTCAGTCTATTCAAGGCATTTTTTTTCCCTTAAGGTGCAGATATTTCCTTTCCTCACAGCTAGTTTCTTGTGTGCTATGTAAACCTGCTCCAAATCAGCACATTCCTGGAAAATAAGAAAGATTTTTTTCCTAAAAATTAAGCATATCTCAACTTTTGTCTCTTCATAATCAAAACATAATGAACACTAACAGTACTAATATTGTAACTTTGGTTTAATGCAAATCATGTTAGACCTTAAAAGAGGGTAGTAGTAAGATTACTAGTAGGAGTAGTAGATTCATCTACTCTAGGTCTTGTCGACAGTTTCTAGGGCCTAAGAACTTTTCTTCCTGATATACATACAAGAACAAATGTCCAATTTCTGATACACCTTTTATCCTGCATTTTTCACCCAGTGCATAAGAAATGTCTGCAAAGACCTGCATGCATGAACAAACAGACTCCTCTCAGACAGAAAAATTGAAGGATAGATTTTTCAGAATATGACACACAAAGCAGTGCTACCACTGAAACTATAAAGAGATTAGTGGAGGTCAGCTTTGTCCCATTTGCAAGCTTTCGTACAATCTAGGCAGCAAAATGCAAAAAGAGGCATTAAAAGATTTTTTTACCCCTATGATTTATGTGAAAACCAAAATTAAAAAAAAAATCTTATGCTTATATATAACATGTACACTAAAAATGGAATAAATAAACACTTATGCTGTGCTCTTTAAATGAGCCAGATTTTATGATGTTCTGGTTGTTAGGTATTTTTCTCCTTTCCTGATATTTCTCATTCATCCAAAACACTGTTTTTCACTTTTCCCCATGTGGGGTTTTTTTTCCTTTTTTAATTGTAGTTCTTGTTTTCTGTGATATTACTTCTGAATAAAAAAGCTTTGGAAGCTACACTTTTCAACAATGTTGTTAATATAATGAGGACAGCCAACACATAGACTTACAGTAAAGGAGAGCACTATAAAGCAAATGAGAAAAAGTATCTGACCAGGTTCAATCTTAACTGAGTAAACCAACTTGATATAAACCAATCTGACATGTTACAGAAACTCAGTGGGAAATGCTGCCTCATTGAGGGGGTATGGATTGCCACGAGTGTATGTAAAAGCAACTTTTTTTTTTCAGAATTTTATTTTAGAATCTTTTGGTAATAAAAGAATATTTAAAATTCTTTGACTCTCACTATCGCAGGACAGCATCAGAGAGCAGAACCTGCAGGAATTAAATGCTTAGGGCTAGCATTGTCTGCATTTGGACCAGTCAGATTCAGTATTTTTTAACAACTACATTTTCATGTCATATGAACACAGGTACTCAGACCAGCCACATAATCCATGTAGAAATTACGGCTGAAATTCTACAACAGAATTGACCCTATTGTTCTTGCAAAGGAGTTTGAAAATTAAATCCATCCACCTGCTAAATTTACCCAGTTGCTTACATATAATTTAAAATATAATGGATTAGCTGACAGATGAATTAACTCTTACCCAGGTTTGGGTAGGAGATCTGTTGTGGTCACTCAGTATCTTTGACAGCATTTCCATCTTAAGAACAGCAATATCAAGATTTTTTTTCCTTTAGCATATTTCTAGAGATGCTTTCCCTCCATGTTTCCTGTGATGTGTTACTTGGACATTGTGATGATGGAAGCTATGAAGAACTGGAGCTAAAGACCGCAACATTTCTGGGGCACAAGGTATGAGGATGTTTGCTCAAAGCACTGACAAACATTGGTATAATATGTTTAAAGTGTCAATTTTAACACCTCATTTAATTCTACTCCTATTTTCGTTGATACACCCATTTTGTGGATTTACGTTATGTTTGATTATTCTCTGAACCATAAAAGGATCTGATGATATTCATAGCTACTATAAACCAGTCATGTATCATTACATATGCTTGATTATTTTTTTCTCTTAAATGAAAAAAACCCCAACCATGTCTCAAAGTTTCATCTCCCTGGAGTTTTTCTTAAAGTTCTTGTAACATAATCAGAGAAGCACTTCTATGACAGATCAGTTTCTATAAAATATTAATTAGACTTTCATTTAATATGTAATAAGACAAATGAAGACAATCAATTTCATTGTCATATGCATATTTTTCATATACTTATTCTGCCCCCTTAAAGAAAGCATAATTCTGCTGTGTATCTTTGCAATTTTATTACAAATAAATGCTAAAAACTCAAGTTCTAAAACATTTTTCTATTCTTTGTAATATTTTCAAGTTCTTCAGTGTGGGTAATAGAAATTATTTTTCATTTATATTTCATCCTCTCACTTTTATGGCTGTTCTACTTTGCCAGAGAAAACCAGACACAAATAATCAATGTATGCTTTTTTTGCAAGAGCAACTTATGCCCACTAAAAGAGAAGCAGTTACTGAACATCATAGTCTATTAATATTATGTAGGATGATAAACACAGCATCATAGATCCCTTCAGTTTCAGATATATACTGGTTGTTCTATATGTTTAGTAGTAAAAATTCCTAAGTTTCTTAGAAATAATACCTACCTAATATGGGATTAAATGTTCTGTCATAATTTGGGGTAAATTAGTGTTGCAAACTAATGGGAGAAAACCCCATTATTTTTTGGCTAAAATGAGCTACTGTTTGGATCTAGAAAATATGATCTTACCATACATACACTGACACTAGGAAAACATGACATAATCTAAGATGTGCACTTGCAAATGTAAAAAACATTTTTGAAGGCTCCAAGTGCCCTAACAAAGTATATGTTTGGAACAAATTTTGAGTATGAATTAATATTCAGGACATTAAGGAGAAACAACAAGCTTTTCTAGTTAAAAAACAAAACCACCAACACAAAAAGTTACAAAATTATAAAATACAAAATAACCAAGAAAATTCCACTGAAATGCAAAAATCAGCAACAATCTAAATCACAAGTTTGAAAGTGAGAAAACATAACTAAGTTTAAATGGCTAACAAAACTGAAGATGTGTATAGAATATTACAGTTGTCTCATTTTCTAAAAAGAAAAAAAATAAAACTTTGATTCTGGAATGAAGCAAGAAGATTTATCACTCTAAATGATGCTGCAGATGGTACAGAAGCTTATCATATAACAAAGGAGATAGGAGACATTTCAAAGAGATTTTTGAAGACAAAGTTCTACCTAATATTCTAAGTGGAACATACTGAGAGACATTGTCTGAAACACCAGTATTAACTTCTAATAAAATCTCAGAAAAATGGAAAAATTCCAAGGAAATGGAATTTGCAATGATAATTTTAATTATTCATGGAAAATAAAAACCATGCTAAAAATGGTGATCCAGAAAACAATATATTCGCTAATCACAAGAAAAGCAGATAATTCTTACATATATGTTAAACGTGTAGTAATGACAATACATGTTAAAATATAACTATTACCATAAATCAATGGAGGATGTGAAATCAACAGTGTCTTTTGCTAAGAAAATTATGTCTGATACAGCTGTCAAA